TACCCTCAGCAAGTTTGCAGATGACACAAAACTGGGAGGAGCGGCTGATGTGCCAGAGGGTCCTGCTGCCATCCAGAGGGACCTCGGCAGGCTGGAGAATCGGGCGGACGAAGACCTCATGAAGTTTGACAAAGTCCTGCACCTGGGGAGGAAAAAAACCCCCACTCCACCAGTACATGCTAGGGGGTGACCAGCAGAAAAGCAGCTTGGCAGAAAAGGACCCGGGGGTCCTGATGGACACCAAGTTGAACATGAGCCAGCAAAGTGCCCTTGCTGCCAAGAAGGCTAATGGGATCCCATTGGGCTGCATCAGGAAGAGAGTTCCAGTGGGTCAAGGGAGGGGATCTGGCCCCTCTGCTCAACACTGGGGAGTCCGCATCGGGAGTGCTGGGTCCAGTTCTGGGCTCCTCAGCACAAGACAGAGGTGGACTCTCTCATAGTGGGGAGAGTCCAGCAAAGGGCCACAAGGCTAATAAGGGGTTGGAGTATCTCTCCTGCGAGGAGCCGTCCTGTGACTCTGTAACGCTGTGAGCTGCCCCTGTGAACATTTAGTTCTGCGGTGATTCGGTTCTAGTTTGGTTTGGCGTAAAGGAAATGTATTTTAATTTTTTTTAATTTTTTTTTTTCAGTTACAGAGCAAATTGGGCTCTGACTCTGTTCTCGATAGGATGTGATTCATTCAGATTCGGGGCTTCTACACCTGTGCCAAGCAGAACAAACGGGAGGGCAGCACAGCCTTTCTGTTCATTCTACTTCACCACGTGGGGCATTGTAACGCGACTCATTAAAGGCTCGTTAACAGCCATTATACTTATGACTGCTTTGTAAACAATGCTAATTCAATAGGACTTGAGAGCCTAATTCCCTCTAGAGTCCTTTGTAACTCCCAGCCGTGGCTTACTTTCTATCTGAAGTGGAAAAGGGGACCCCTGTGAGAGATTTCTGGACCCTGCAAAGCTTGCTAATTTAGTAATGCCATAGTTCAAGCATGCTGTTAGTATGAGCCCTCAGTACTGAGCTTAATGCACGGGCTAGGCACTTAAAGGGCTTCTTTTCAGCAAAGTGATAACCTTTGGGTCTGTTCAGCTTTGCTCTAACTTCCCAGAGATCGAGCAGACCAAACGCTACTCCCTGTTACGTTGGCTCCCAGGGAAATATTTCTGAAATGTGCCCTAGTTCTGCTAACTCTGAGAGATTTACAATGTTGGGACTGCATTATGGACAGGCTGTGCCCAGCTTTTTAAGTCTAAGTGTTGGGCTTGTAACAGTCATGGCACAAGAAAACACGGAAAAAGAGGCTCAGTGGTGGGAACCATCCCTTTGTTTCCCTTCCTCTGTAGAAACAGTGAGGTGGTATCGGTGGTCTTGTGTGTTACACTGATGATTGGGTTGGCTGTTGTGAGGTTTCTCCAGTGCCAGCTTATGGCAAACTGGATAAATGTAAGATCTCAGAGACTTCATGAAGGCATCTAAAGCCAAGTCTATACTGTGAAATAAAAAAAGAGAAAGGGGCTGATGCCTTGGGGTTCCTGCAGAGTTTGTTGCATCTTCTAGGCAACGATTGGGGATTATGGGGAACGATTATGGGGAACGTCTTTTTAGTAGGGCCAGCTGTGTTAGGACAAGGGGAAATGGTTTTAAACTAGAACAGGGTAGGTTTAGACTAGCTATAAGGAAGAAATTCTTTACAATGAGGGTGGTGAAACACTGGAACAGGTTGCCCAGAGAGGTAGTGGAGGCCCCATCCCTGGGAACATTCAAGGCCAGGTTGGATGGGGCTCTGAGCAACCTGATCTAGTTAGCAGTGTCCCTGCTCACTAGTGGTCCCTTCCAACCCTAAACATTCTATGATTCTATGATTCTATGATTCTATGATTGCAGCCTATCTGGTTGCCTTTTGCAGCTTCATTACTGCTGAGCGGGTGGCCTTCCTACTGGCTCTTTTTCTTGGATGCTGAGTGATCCTTGTTGCTGGAGGCAGAATCATCACTTGTTTTGCTGAATGTTAGCACCAAATCCCGTACTGCTTTGAGTAACCTAGAGTCTTGTGTGTCTCATTTATCCAAAGAGGGAAGAGATGGATATGAGCAGAAAGGGAGGTCTGGGACATGCAGCTGAGAGGCTCCGCTCTGTTGGCTGCTGGGAAAAGGTATGTTACCAGAGTTAAAGGCTTTCCATTGCTATCTGGATTTTTTTTTCTGTGAAAGTCCCATGTTTCTTGCTGAGCGCTGAGAAGTGTCCTGCTTCTGGAAACTTTAGGTTGTCCTTCTTCAAGTAAGGTTCTTTGTCTTTGAACACTGCCAAGAGCTCTCTCCTGTTTGTGAGCTCATGGCCCAAAGGCAATCCCAGAGGTTATGATAACGTGTGAAGATCCCACAAATTTCTCAGAAACAAGTGTGAAATTAGATTGCACGTCCTGGCTTTAAAATAATGACTTCTTGCATGTGTACACATAGCAAGGTGAGACATCTTCTGCTACACAGGCAAAATGTGATTACTGAATACAAAGATCTCCTTTAAAAGCTGTCAAAGCACTTTGGGTAAGCATCACCCCCTGCTCGGACTGTTCTTTGATTCTTCCCTAGTGCACCACTACCTAATGTCAGAGAGAGGATAATGGAGCTCTGGCCCCACCTCACAGGGCCATTCTTCTGCCAAGTCTGGGTGGATCTGACACAGGGGTATCAGATGGTGACCAAATGTTTGTCCAGTAAGTCCCCCTTTATGGGTAAAGTTAAAAGTATATTCCTAAGTCACGGGCCAAGCCCCCAAGCTGGTAAGATGAGTGAAAAGTTAGAAGCTTAAAATTGTCAGCAATAATAATAAGCCACTAGAAGGTAGGTTATTTCTGAGGCTACCTATTGTTGGTTTTTCCTTCTCCAGCCTTTATGGCTCAAGTTTTCGAGCATTCCTCATAACCATTAGAATGGAAAAGTAATTTTTATGAAATCCGTGGATCCTGAAGCAGAAGTGTAAACAACCAAATACCATTAAAACTGCTAAATGAAAACAGGATGACTTTAGGAATGCTAGAAAGGGAATCTGCGCTGGAGACGGTGCCACCACTTTTCATTTCAGCTGGCTCATTTTTTAAACCAACTACACCAGGCTGCGAAGAAGTACGCCTGTCCCCTCTGGCTTTAACGGCATGTCTGTCCCCATGGCCCATTTGGCGGAAGGTTGTTCTATCTGCCGTAAGAGTGTGTGGCCACCTCATGCTTGCTCTCAGGGTCCATTCTTCCTTCACATTCATACCCCACCCCCCTCAGTGGCACGGAGAGGAGTGTGCCTGGGCACCCGGCTGGTTGTGAAGCTTCGGACATTAGTTACTGCTTTTTCCAATAAATTGTGGTTTTGGGATGGGATAGGGAAAATGAAGCATGAAAGTGCCAGTGCCAGAAAGGAGAGCTTGGAGGAGTCTGTCAGTGCCAAGCACTGGAATCACGTACTCCGTTCGACCGATCCAGTGTCATTTTGCTGAAGCAATAATATATCTGGCCTTGATATAAAAAGTACTAATTTCTGCACTGCTATGTTACATACATATGTGAAGATTGATGTAAAATGCAGATCGAAATGGCATAACTGTGCCCCGTGGCACAGGCAGCTGACAAGATAGGAGGGAGGGTAGGATTAGTCCCACAGTTTGCTCCTGGCATTTGCAAGGAGGAAACTCCCTGATTTTTCCACAGCCCATCTCTGGTGCCTTAGGCGATACAGAATAAGAAGCAGCATTGCCTGAACTACTTGTCACCAGGAACTTTTTAAAAATAGCTTCATCTCCAGGGACGTCAGCACTCGTAGCAAGCAGGGAGGTTTCTTTTTCACTTTCCAATACACGAGCACCTTTACCGGGGAGGCTGCTCAGCCCGTTCCTGGTTTAAGGCTTCATAGTTTTGTGGGGAGCTCTGGGGAGATGAGGGGTGGGCTGCTGCCCTCTAGTGAGCTTCACCATGACCTAAGGGATCTAACTCGCCTCTTTTTTGCTATTCAAGTTGCTAAAAATTAACTTTGGGTGTGATCAGACGCATGAAATTCCATATTATGAAACAGTGCCCGATTGATGAGATCTCAGGATTTACACTGGGGGACAGTATGGACTGTCCCTAGTCTGGACACCGGCTGGTACATCTCTAAAAATACAGTTCATGCCATCTGAGCATGCTATGTTAGGCATTTATATTATCACCTAAGTTAGTTCTTTCCCAATTCTTTTCAGATGGATATACCCTGCTTTGAATAAGCTTATTGACAGATTTGTTCCTTAACGAAAAACACTGCAGCATTTAAATACCACCTTTTAATAATGAAAAAGCCACCCTCCTTTCAAAATAATAGTAATAATAATATTAACTACTGTTGAGAAACGTTATAGCATATAAATCGTTGAGAATTGGTTCAAATGCTATTTAAGTTGTAGGATGTGTGCTTTTTCGCTCAAGTGATTTGAAATGCTGGGTTCCCTGGCTAAGTCCTCATCAAGTTTTACCTCATGCAAGCACTGTCTGGGCAGAGTTCTGCTGTTGGCATTAGGGGGCAGTCTTGAGGGTTTATTGGATATTTTTTTTTTGCCTGTAAGCCTGGCTAGGATCTAATTTAAGGCAGGCTAGCATGTGGCTATTTTTGCTCTATTACCCAGGCTAAATGCAGTACAGTCAATTAAGAAAACCTGTCCCATTAAGCGTAGCCCCTAGCCCTGTTGCTCATCAGCGAACGTCCGCCACCAGGGGTTAGGGAGAGCTGAGGAGATTCTGCAGGTAGAACGGCTGCGATGCCGAGATCCTGAAAGCAACAAGGGCATTGATCTAATTGGCCTTGGTAATAAGCACACAAGGAAAGCCAGGCTGATAACTTTTATCCTGGAAGACTAACGGAGCGGTTAATAGCTTCGACTTGTTTTCAGCAGCACAACTTAGTGAAACGGGCGTGCTTGAGTCCTCTCTGGAGTTACGCAGCCCACCCCAGGTTTTGGTTCAGGGACACGAGACCGTCACACATACAACAGCGCAGCTTGTTTGCTCTGGCACGCCTTTTGTCCTCTTGCTTCCCGGCCGATGAACACTGCTTGCCATCATCTTTAGGTACAACATCTTCATATCTCATCACTTTTCTTTCAGAATTATGTAGGGCAAAGGTTACAAAAGTTCTTGGCATCTGCCATGTGATGTAAGAGGAAGTCATCAGCAGCAAAGAGTCTCTTGTGTAACCTACTGGTATTTTCAGAGACATGTCTGGGTAACAAAATGTTTCCTTTATCTACTGATCGGGCTGCTTCCTATAGAGTAAAAATGGCTGGTTGTAAAAAAAAAAAGTCTTTGAGGCAACTTTATAAAATCAAACCTTACAAAGGCGTGAGGATAATTTGCAAAGCCCAGATTTATATGACTTATAAGGAAATGCTCTGGAGCAAATAGAAAGCAAATGATTTTTCATGAACATGAGATTGTCAGAGGATAGTGATTCACTGTTCAGCTGAGGGAGGGGGAAGAGTAAAAATACATGGGTAGAAAAAATGGTGAGCTAGGGGAGAGCACATTTCAGATCCTGAATCACTTTTGCATAAGCCATGCTGACAGCTACGCTATTTTCTGAGGATTGTTCCAAATTCAACATCACTTGTCTTGAAATGATCTTGAATGGTCCTAAAAATAGCTTGGTACTGGAGATGCCAATTTTTCCAGTAATTTCCCTAAGATGTCAGCAAAATCATTGGCTATGAGAAGCAACGCTCTACCCTCATCTCCACGGGAAGATTATGTTTGTCTGCTGCAATACAGCACTTTAGAAAACCACATACTCTCGGTTTCTATGATTTTCAGTGTGTCTTAGATGTCTTTGAAGATAACCCCATGATGGCTGATAACTGCCTAGGTCAGAAGGTCTCAAGTCCCCTAACCTGACAGCTGGGCCATTCAAAAAGGCGAACAGGGATCTCGCCAAGTGCTGCGCCAACAGAGCAGATTTTTCCAGGTAATGGGCTAAAGCAGCAACTTCAGGGTAACTTCAGGATCCCTATAACCTGGCTAAACTCGAGTCAGGCTGTTTCCCACCCCCCGGTCTCCTGACATCCTCCTTTCCCTGCTGCTGCACAGATCTGTGCAGAAGGAACTCACTAAGAGTTTACCCCACTCTTACCAGAGTCATACTGCTTCCAGCAAAAGCCAGGAATCTGGAAAAATCTGATTTTCACTAAAATCAACCCACAGCAATGCTTTTTGATGCTAAATGGGGAGGAATCTCTTTTTGGTATCTTTAGGAGTACAGCATTTGAAATGTGAAAATCCTGGTCACCTTAGACAAATAGCTGCTCCAGGTGCATCAGTCAGCCTGCAGCATGCCTAACAGCTCTGACAGCAACCGGAAAGTCCAAGGGGAATTGTCCCAAACCCTTGGAAACCTAATAAATGGCAGCTCAACAAAGCGATAGACTCTTCTGCTGCCTGAGCACGTCCGTGCTGTCGTTTCTGTGGAGGCACTTGCAGGCGTTTGGTGTACAAGTCGAACGCACAGGGCCAGCGTACTGCACTTAAACAGGGCGTGTGCTGCCACCTAAAACTGCAGAGTAGAAGGAGAGAAAGGGTTCATCCCAGGGAACAGCACCTGAGCGGCTTTCTCCAGCGCTATAACTGGCCTCTTCCTCCCTTTGGAGAGCGCGGTCTGCGGAGCCCCATGTTTCTTCAGGCTGTCTTCAGGTGGTCTTCCCTCTGCCCCACTCTTGGTCGCCAACATGCATCACTTGGGAAGAGGGAAACTTATAATAATTAACACGTAGTAAAAATCAATTTAATTTAATCCTAACTTATCTCTTCTGCCTAGTTTGACAGCTGGCAATCCCAAGTGAAGAAACCAGCCGAGGCAGGAGTCCTGTGGCAGCAGATCTGACTTGAGGGGCTGGGCTGGGCTGGGTTGGGCTGGGTTGCACAAGCTCCTGCTCCAGTGGGGAGGCCAAGGGGAGCTGCCAGCAGCTCACCCCACTGCTCAGCTAATTGGATAACAAGGGAGAAGGGCGATGAGAGATAAAAATTAAAACTGGGAGGGTAACTGGCATTTAAACAGTGAAAGTTTTCCTCTGCCGCCTGCTGTGCGCAGGTCTGCGGAACCGCTGTTTGTGCGTAAGTGGTGAACTTGCTTGGTAGGTGCTGGCTGCTTGCGAGCTTCTCTTAGGACCCAGTCTGAGGAAACTCCCAAAACACTGCAGATCAGCAGAGAGGAAATACTGTATTTTATTAACAAGGCAGCCAGGGAAACTTTGACAACTGTTTTATACTGATGGAGTAAGTCATGTTTAGCACCATTCACAGGCACGTAGGATACCCAGCAGCAAATGTAAAAGGCTAAGAGGTAGACTGGGAAGGGAAGATCACCAAGTTTCCCAAGAAGACTATTTTCCTAGCATCTTTCTGTCATTTTCCATTCCCTTTCTGTCCTCTCTTTCGTGCTCTGAAATCCCTCCCTCCACTTCTCCATCCTCTTCCCTGTGGCCGGGACGTACACAAGCAGTCTTCTGCATATTGCTATTTCCTCTCACTAGTGTTTTTGTGGAGGCAGAAGTCACAACCTCTTGTGTTTGTGTTGGACCTGTGATCAAAACCCTACAGCAAACATGTTATTTGCTTGATGGTTAGGGGTGCAGGCTGTCCAAAGATGATATTGTAGAAAAAGGTTATTAATTCAGCATGCACCTTTGCAGGTTGTTTTTACTTAGAGTGTGTTAACCCGTGTCTGTCTGAGAAGAATTTGGTTTGAAATAATAGTGGGAAAACACATGGCTGTCCGCTGTGATGGTACTCGGGAGCGGAGCGCCGGCAAGCAGCACAGACGGTGCTGCAAGAGATGCATTTCAGTGCATTGGCTGTGTAAAACAGGAGCATTGCTTGTGGGGCCAATTCTGCTCTTAACCCCCATGCATCAGTATGAAGTCAACCGCAAATAGACAGAATTTGAGATAAAATCAGAAGGGGGATGTGAAGTAATGTTGAGACGGTCTTCCTTTTTGAGATATTTCTGTAGCATGCCTCCATCAGCTAATTTTTCTAACACTTCAGACTGGATGAAAGCTAAAAGCATTAATAAAACTGCAAGTGAAATTAGGAGAGTGCAAGGCTTTTTTTTTCCTTTTGGCACCTCCATCTGTAATAAAAATGTCTTTATTTGAAATGTCATGTTAACCAGATGACATTGTTCTGCAGGGTGGGAAGGAGACTCAAGAAATACATTGATGAACTAATAGGTTGATGAAGCATAGATTTTTAAGGTATATGTTAAATAGATTTTTAAGGCAGCTAAGGTCTGAAGAACACTGTGGTTTTTCAGTTATATGTGGAATCAACAGGTTAAATTAATCTCTGCTGTATTGCTTCTGAACTTACTTAGTGCATTTGCATTAGGGATACATTTGAGCAAATGTCTCCAGGCAGCTGTCGATCTGCTCTGGTCTTTAACCTCAGTGTTACAAAAGCTCTAAAATAGGTCTTGGGGATCTGTTTGGTAACAGAGGGAGACTTCATCTTTGTTCACAGCTACTGAGTACATAAAAGACTGCTTAAGCTGCAGAAATATCTTCTAACGCTGCTATTCAAGCACAAGCAATTGCCAGAGATGTGCCAGAAGGAGAAAGAACTGTCCAGGATCCGAAAGCCTGGGAACACATGCCATGCAGCAGGGCATGATGCAGGGAGCCCCCAGCTAGCTCTAGCTGGGGTCTAAGCTCCGTGGGGCCGTACCGAGGTAGCAGCTCGTGCCTGGGAAGCAGCAGAGCCTGTTGGCCAGGTCGAGCATCTTGGTCCCATGCTACATGGGATATTCGGGACACACCTGGGAACTTTTTAATGTGGTACTGCTCAGGGGACAGCAGTGCAAAAGACCAGCTCATGGTCTTTTGGAAATGTTATTGCAAATACTCAACTTCTTTTTTGTTGTTTTTTCTTTATTTTTTTTGTGAAGCCATGGGAGTTCAGAAAAGAAAAAGCAGCAGCTTTTGTTCATGACTTTTATACAGACATTCTTCACTGGAAGTTGTCTTGTTTACCAAACCATAGTACATACCTTCTCTTTCATTCAAAGCACTTTTTTATTTGCTGCTGTTGTGTTATCAGGCAGCTGGAGAGGGAGATAAAGTGCGGCCTCAGGCAAAACAGGTAAAGGGAGAAGGAGGAAAAACATTAAAAGAAAATTTAGTAAGAAAACCAGGCTGATCCTCTTGATTAAATCTATTATACTGAGGCATAATCTTTCAAAGAAGCTGCATTAACAAGTCATCTTTAAACACCCTGGACAGAAAGCTCAAGGGAGTGCTGTAGGGAATTGTCCAACCTTGGTAAAAGGGAGGATTAAATTGCTTAATAAGCAATCCTTCATTTGTAAACCTTATTAAATTTCAGCCTAATCACTGAGAATTAACAGCAGTGGCTGTGATAGCAGAAGTCATACATTTTTTCAGGCCAGACAGTTCTCCCTCTTTTTCTGAGAACTTAATTTTCCAGTACTATTTTGGGAGTTTGGGTGCCTTTATTTAGCAGTGTAAATTTTAGTCTCCAGACACACGGAAATGTATTTTGTAATAAGCTTGCTGAAGGCAAATTGCCAGTATTCAGTATCCATGAGACCTATTGTCAGAAAGTCTAAGATTTTTAGAAATGTAAAGCCAGCTAAGCTCAGGTACTTGCTCAAGTATTTTGCTAAGTAAGACTGCATTTAAGACTGCTCCTTTTCTAGTGGAATTTGTACTCTCAAATCAGTTTGAAAGGTTTCTCAGTGAAGTGCTTAACTCGATAAGCAAATAGCTGAACAGCTAAATAAGCTGTTACTGAGGGGTTTTTGTTTTCCTGTGGTTCTTGGAAAAGAACATGCATGAGAGGTGATACAATCTGACCTCTAAACATGCTGTGAGGATTGGTAAACAATCCAGGGTATCTCCCACAGAATGAGGAAAGCTCTTCCAACAGATACTGGCTTGTTGCAGCAATACTAGATCTAGAATAAACAGTGGATTTGAGGTTTTTCCACTATTTGACCTAATTTTTACCATATTTTTGGTAGAAATTAATGTTTCCTCTATCTGACCTTTTTGATAGTTGCGAGCTGCATTTGAGAAGGAGCTTTGAGCCTCACCCCAGGTGCCCCACTGGAGAAGCAGAGTCCTGACCCTTCAGCTAATCACAGCAATGCTTGGGGTAACCTACATCCCTCAGAGCAGGATCCAGATTTGAGACACGTCTGTACCACAGCCC